GTATGCTGACATTGTCAATTTTCTCGCTAGTGTTATTTTGCTTCCTTACTTGAATAGCCAGGGAAAAAACAAGGTCATACATGATAGTGGCTACTTTCATTGGGATGAGTTTTTTACCCAAATGATTAAAAGTTGCCACAACAAAGAGGAACGAAAAGAGATATCATTCCACTACCATTCAACATCATACAAAGAGCACTTTGAAGGAAAAAATGACTACTGCAAAGGTCTTAGAATTTAGATGTGAAAGACACGAAATGCTAGGGCAAAATATTTTAAAGATGGAACTGTTATATGTGTGGGGTGTAACACCCATCTCTCGTATACCATTCCGTACACGAGATACATATGTCACAACACTTTTAAAATATTTTCTCAATTAAAAACCTGAAAAATTTTGTTTCCAAATTTCTGAAAACATAAAATTGGTTTTATATACCATAAAACATTAATTATAATATGTTACAAGGTTATAATTAAGTAAAATTTAGAGTATTTTTTCATACTTTAATTACATGCCAACAAAGTTTTTTAAAATAAACCAGATTGTCCTATTGTTACTGACGAGTCAACCTTAATTGATGATAGCTGATACTACTGTTGCACTCTTTACTCGTCTATTCTCTGCCTTCACCTACACGTAAAATCAACACACTTTAAATATTTACTTAGTAAGACATAATATTGTAAAGAAAAATTAATGTAAACATAAGTATATCATGATTCCTTGGTTACGAAATAATTCGTATCATCCATAAGGATTAGATAAGTCCCTATTATCTAAGTCATATTTATTTCATACTATCATCATCAACATTCTAAGTATGTTCAGCATTCCTTTCTTTACATACATTTTTCTCATTATTCTTTGGTAATTATTCATTATTTTCATTTACGGTATCCGTTCATACCTTTAATACACCATTATGAATTTCATTTATGGCATCCTTTTAGGCCTTTAATGCACCGTTATGCATTTCCTTTATTGCATCCTTTCATGCCTTTAATGCACCGTTATGCATTTCATTTATGGCATCATTTCATGCCTTTAATTCACCGTTATGCATTTTATTTATGGCATCCTTTCATGCCTTTAATGCACCGTTATGCATTTCATGTAGTACATCGAAAATATAATAAATACCATTAACATATATTAAATTGAAACCTTATAATTGAACTCATTTCAAAACTTATTTTTCTTAAATAAGCATAATAAATGCACTCACCTGATAATCCTCGTTAAAAATGTAATGAGGTCTGGCTGATCTTGATAGATTCAGGAGCTTGGTTATGATCTACACAAGCATCCATTAAAGGCACATACCATACCAAATGCTAATATATTCCCTAACATTTATACTTTAATAATACTCACAAGTACTATTATTTAGATTTCTATAACAAATTTAAGCATATGTTTAAATTCTAGGCTCAATAGTATCGGTACCCATACCATGTTATCGATACTTCTATACTAGGGTACCGATACTCCCTTTCAGTATCGATACCATTTGGTCATTCTGTAAATTAATGGTATTGATACCTTCTTCTTAGTACCAATATTTCTGTATTATGGTACCGATACTCTATTACTGTATTGATACCATTTATGCATTCTATAAATCAATGGTATCGATACCTTCTTTAACACCCCGTACCCGTACCCGACCCAGATAAGAATTCGAGGTGTCATATTTGACTTTTTAAAACATACAAAATTCACAAATAGAATAAATTTAAAATTTGTTGTCCTAATAAAGATAAAGAAAATATAACCATTCTAAATAGAAAATCATTTTATATAAAATCTTAATAATTTACATAAATATCCAAAAGTAAGAGTTTACAAAAATCGATTAGAGCATTTCAAATTAAAAGTATAATACATGCCAATGGTGTACAAAATTTACCCAAAAACTACATTTAATTTGTTCTGATATGATCTTCTAGTGATATGCTATCCTTCACAACTCAATCCTCTACTTTCTTCAAACCTACGCGTGAGAAAATCACACGCTAAGTCGATGACTTAGTGAGGTAATATAAATAGTGCTAACTTATTAACAAAAATCTTATTTGTTTTATTCAAAATATTTTGCAAAGAACTTTCTTTATTTTCCTATCAAAGGTATACTAATGAATAATAACACTTTGTAGGTCTTTGTTCAAGTGCCCAAGGTATACTACTGAGAACTCTAGGTATCTGAGTACTATGAGGTTGTGCACTAATGCTGTCACCACAGCTCGTAATTTGCACCGAAGTGCAACATAATTGTCTTAGGACCACATAGGTTTGCACCAAAGTTCCACATAGTTTTACACCGATATTTGTCCCGAAGAACCACATAATTGTCCCGAAGGACCATATAAAACCCTTTACTATTGGCATGCCAACTAACCTCTAATCCTTGATCGCTTGTAAATGTATATTCTAAGGCAAGCAATTATGTGCAAGTATACACAATCGAATCAAGCAATATAGGGTAAGTTAGTTATCATCTCCACAGGGATTGGTAGAGAAATTTATCTTCACCACAACTAGAACTAGTGTCACAAACTAATTCCTACTAGGTTGTCAACTTAAGAACTAATATTAATAAAAAAAAGAAGTGATATAATGATTACAGAACAGTTTGGTCGAGGCAAAATAAATATGTAGAATGTTGGAATAAAATAAAACAAGTGTTGATTTAAATATAATGTAAACAACCTCATATATTCAGACTTATCACAGAACACTTATGCTAAATTTTTGTATTGACAATAACTATTCTAAGTCTAGAATGAATTATTATGACTTGCTTAAGCTGCCCGACAAGATTACTAGGTATTCTTAGACGGTTGCTATGGCAATACTCCTCACTATTAATTACAACCCTTGGTTTGTTAGACTACTGTTGTAGAAATACCTCTCAACGTGAACTATAGGCGTTGTCTATCCTAATCTAGCATCTATCCCTTCTAGTCGATTGAAACTCGCTCCTTATCTCTAAGGTAAACAAGTTAGAACTTCACCATCCCGAATTCATTCGATTGTTCACGTAGATCTATCTTAATTTTCTAAAATATAAGAATCACTATCTAGACAAAAGGCTATCTCTCGATGCTCTTAAATTGCTAAGACATGGTTTACCAAAACCCAGGCGATCTCTCGATGCTCTTACAGTGTCACAGTAAAATATTCAAACAATGAACAAAACAGTCATGAGCAAAAACATAATTCATCATTCATAAAATATAAAGTAATTGTTTAGGCAAAACAAAGTTTAACACCAAGTAAGACAGTCATGGTGCTATAAAAAAGTTATCCAACTATCATCATTTAATACAACCCCAAATATATAAAAAATATTAAGAACAAAGGAAGAATGACTCCTAAAACCAGGGGCTCTGTCGCAATAATTCTGATCAGCACCGCGCCTACCTTGGTGATCAGCCTCTCTAGACCTGATCACCGCTCTACTACAGCCTGGCTATAGAGGACACCAAGGAAGTTTGGTTGGTAACCGGTGAGAAAGCAATGTAGTTGTTTGCTCAAGCCTTAAGTAAAACTCTTATCTCTTCTTCCTTGCCTCCTTCTTTTGGCAGCTACGGCTGGTTATTTATAGAGAAGAATCTCCTAAGGCTTAACATGCTTTGGAGATTCCTTAAATAGTCGTTGTTATATGCCGAGATTTAAAAAATAAAGATGGATGACAGCTGTCAGAATAATTAAGGCTTGCTTGCACATGAAGTAGGTCATCCAGCTGGCATGTGACATAGGCGATTTTGTCATATCCGCTTCAGACTTCTTCAGATAAACCTTTCTCCTCAGCAGCATTAGTCAAACCAAATAAATTTTGCCTAAGCAAAATTTATCCACCACAAGCTAACATAACCTATAAGCAACTAAATTTAACTAAAATTATGTGCATACTTTGTTTAGACGAGCAATAATTTAAGTGAGAATACTAGAAATTGAGTCTTTTTACGAAGTTATCACACCCCCAAACTTAAGCTATTGCTTGTCCTCAAGCAATGTACAATAGCTAGAAGAAAATTAAAATTGTCATGGCAAAGCAGTGTTAAGAAAATCATATGGTTTGAGATTTCAGCCCTCAGCAAAAAATAGTTGGCCTCAACATGTTCGACAGTCATATCAGTCAAGTCTCTTCCCTAGTCAGAATTCCTTGCTATTGTGTGTGCGTGATTGTAACCAGTCTATGCATAAAGGTAATTAGAAAATTTAAAGTAAGCACTTCTGAATTGTCAAGGCATCAAATTATTTGTCAGGCTTAGTTTATACTCCTAGTTATTTATCAACTTTTTATTTCTCTATTTTTTTATAGGGGAGTCAGCTCATCACACCTATCGTTCCACACTCTAGGTGAGAGGGAGCATACCTTCCACCCCAAGCTAGTCGAGCAGAGTCATCCTGTGTCTACTTTCATTCACTTATATGCCTTGGCAACTCTTAATTTCTTATGGAGTTTTTCTATTTATGCCTTTGCATAGTAGAGTGTCCCTTTTTATTTTTCAAGTTCTAAGCACTAATTAGTTTCACTTTACCCTTAAAATATTTTTAAAGTCTCGACAAGCAGAAAGTTCTTTCCCAAAAATTTTACAGATTACCTTAAGCAAGGACAACCTACAATTGTGCTTGTAAATTTTAAAGAATCAGGCCTAGGGTTGTTTCTCTTCTTTAGACAGTCTTATAATATTTTTGGCCTAGGCAATCAAATTATGCTTTCATCATTGGGTATCCCTAATTCATTCCTAACAATAATCTTAACCTGCTTATGTCATGACAGCTAAAATTTTCAACCAATTATCATCAATTTCTTTTTAACAAAGTATGGCAAAATATGGCACAATACCTCTACCAAACTTGAGGGATGCAATGTCCTCAATGCATGAGAACTAAAACTACATGATACTATATGAAAATAAAAAATAAAAAAAACTAAAGTGGAAACTTATTGTGGTGGGGTGGCTTGACTGGACGCCCTTGTTCGGCGTCATTGAGGAGAGGGACTCTCGGATCCCGAGTCTACTGCTGCTATCGTCGAGGGAGACGACTGAAGTATACGGCCTGCCATTCGGTTGTAGTGCTTCTTGCTGGTCGAGGCTTGTGCTGGAGTTGGTTGCTCAGCAGTAGGAGTCGGTTGGGCAGAGACTGGTGCTGGAATTTGAGCTGCTATTGGGACTGCGTTGCTTGACGGACAGGGGACTGAATATGACCATGATCAGGTTGCTTTGGTACTGGAGTGAAGTCTTCATCAGAGAATAAGTTGCGTGGGGTATCTTGACTGTTGTCAGAGGTTGAGAAAGATGAGGAGCTGAGGAACTCTTCTCTGTCGCCTTAGCCTTCCTCTGGTACGGGTGAGACATGGGTTGCCAGTGGTGGCATATCTGTGGGTACTCCTGGGGGAACCTCTGGAGGGACATTTGATGTTGAGGCATGGAATGTGCTGCCATCAATATTATATTTGAGGATGACACTAGGGAACGACGACATATTGGCGGTTGTATTTGGGAGCAACTCCTTGAAGAAGGCGTTGAGTTACGCGTCCCTTTCCTTGACATACTCGAAATAGATCTCCATGTGATCCTCTAGGCGCCCTATCTTCTCACATATTTCTCATGTGTGCGTAACCATGGTGGTTATTCTAGTTGTGACAATAGATTTTGCTCCCCGCTCCAAACCTTCATGCGGGGAGTTGTTATCAAAACTCATCAGCTCGGGTACGTTTTTCTTGGTGATACCCTCCTTGGATTTAATGAAGTCCTAAAAGGGCTCCTCGAGGACTTTCTTTTTCCTGTACAACACAGTTATCAGGTTGGGAAATAATATATTACCCCAGTTTCTTTTGGTGCACTTGTGGATTTGCTCGAAGAAGAGTTCGCAAACATTAATCTTCCTCCCGTATATTATTGAGTGCAAGAGCATCAATCTTTTCACGAGCACAGATGTGTTGTGAGAATTTGGAATAAGCTTGCCCTTGAGAAAATGGTTCCATAACTTCACGATCGATTTTATGGTTTGGTGATCGAATCTCTTCCTCGTTGGGGCATTCCCTTTGAACTTGGCCCACCTGAAGCAAAGATCTTCAAGAACTCCGATGTATGTTTCCTAGTCTGCCTCAGCCACGAATCTCTTGTGTTACTCCTCTTCTTTTCCCAACTTGAAGTATTTGTTGAGTGCTAAAGGGGAAAATTGAAGGAGCTTCCCTCGGACGTATACCATGTGGTTGGATGGGTCTTCGAGGTGGGCGTAGGATTCCCTCACCATCCATCGTGCTACGGCTTTGGGATGGCGAGCAAACTTCTCCCAGTTGTGCTTCTGTATCATGTCCATCACATCTGGTCCAAACGACTCTTTATCCTCGGCTGGAAAAATGAATCCATCTTCTAATTACACTTTTGACGTTTTTGGAGGATTTTGAAGCATGCTTCGGCTTGGACTGTTTATAAACGTTCAAAACTTGGTGTTGAGGCTGGGGTTTTCCTTGATCTTACCATGGTACTTGGTTGGTGTGGTGAAATTAGTGGCAGCAATGGGGAAGATTTTGATGAGAGAAAGAAAAATTTTCTTGCTTGGTAGAGAGAGAGTGAGGAACAATGAAGAAGAAGAAGGAGTTGGGCGGTTTTTTTTCCTGGAAAGTAATGGGTAATTTTGGGGTAATTTTGTCCTTACACTCGGGGGAAATATTTTGCATTGAATGCGGGATATGTGAGTGGACATAAAGTTGGGGAAAAGATTTCTTTCCCTCTTTAATTCTGCCACCTAAACCATGTCACCCTAGGGTTTCCTTCCTTTTCATGCATGCTTCATCTCCCCATGCAGCCACGTGTAATCTGCATGCCTACAATAGATAAAGAAATAAAATAAAATGGATAATGAAAGAAAAAAAATAACTCAATTTATTTATGTACAAAATTCAAATTTCCGTTGCCCAGGCAACAATTTTTTTAAGTAAAGCAAACTCTTGGGCATCATGTGCCATTGATGTCGGTTTGTCGCGCATGACTAGGGCTCCTTTGTATTCCTTTATCCTCTGCCCGTTCACCTTGAAGATGGACCCATCGTCTTGGTTTGGATTTCGATTGCTCCATTGTCATGGACTTGGTGTACGATGAATGGTCCTGACCATTGTGATTTTAGCTTGCCTGGAAATAACTTAAGACGTGAATTGTGGAGCAGTACTTATTGTCCAGAATAAAATTGCCTAGGCAATATTTTTCTGTCATGCAATCATTTTGTATTCTCCTTGTATAGGTGAGCATTCTCGTATCCGTGTTCTCTGAATTTATCCATCTCGTTCAGTTCTAAGAGTCTTCTTTCTCCAGCAAGCTGTGCATCCATGTTTAACTTTTTGATGGCCCGGTAGGCTTTATGTTCTAGTTCAATAGGCAGATGACATTCTTTTCCGTAGACCAATTTAAACGGGGACATTCCCAACGGTGTCTTGAATGCTGTACGATAGGCCTATAGTGCTTCATCTAGCTTCAGCGACTAATCCTTTCAACTTGGGTTAACCACTTTCTCAAGGATCTGTTTAATTTCCCGATTAGACACTTCATCTTGTCCATTAGTTTGAGGGTAATACGCCATAGCGATCCTGTGTTGCACTCCATATTGTTTCAGTTCCTTGGCAATCAATTTGTTGTCAAAATGTGTGCCTTCATCGCTAATGATAGCTCGTGGTGTTCCAAAGAGTGTGAATATATTTTTGTGCAAAAATTTTAACACCGTCTTGGAATCATTTTTAGGTGTTGCAATGGCTTCAACCCATTTGGATACATAGTCCACTGCCAAGAGAATGTACAAATCTCTAAATAATGTGGGAAATAGTCCTATGAAGTCTATTCCCCATACGTCAAAAGTTAAATCTCCAGAATATTTTGCCATGGCATCTCATGCCGTTTTGATATGTTTTCTATTCGTTGACATCTATCGCATGAATTCATGCACATCTTTGAACAAGGTTGGCCAATAAAATCCAGACTTAAGCACTTTCGCTGTTGTTCTCATTCCACCAAAGTGACCTCTATATGGTACGAGTGACATTGGTATAGAATATCTTTCTGCTCTTCTTCTGGAATGCATCTTCATAATATTTGGTCTCTACATTGCTTGAATAGAAACAGTTCATCCCAGTAGTAATGTCGCACATCATGTCGAAACTTCTTTCGACCCTGGCTAGATAAATTAGGAGGAACAATACCACTAACAAGAATGTTAACTATGTCAGCATACCACGGTGCAGCCGTGACAAATAATATTTTCTCATCAGGGAAATCCTCTTTAATTTTTGTTATGTCAGAATAATCAGATTTGTTATCTAACGTAGAAAAATGGCATGCCACTTGATTTTCTATACCCTTTATATCCTTGATCTCTAAATCGAACTCTTGTTGTAATATTATCCATCGAATTAGCCTAGGCTTTGCATCTTTTTTGTTGATCAAATATTTAATGGCATAATAGTCTGTATGCACAATTACCTTAGTGCCTATTAGATATGGCCTAAACTTATCGAATGCAAATACTACTACTAAGAGTTCTTTTTCAGTGGTGGTATAGTTTACTTGTGCACCATTTAGAGTACGACTCGCATAGTAGATAACATGAAAGATTTTACTTTTTCGTTTCCCTAGGACCGCTCCGACTATATAATCACTAGCATCACACATGAGCTCAAAAGGTTCTTTCCAATCCAGTGGGATAACGATTGGTGCTGCCGAAAACTTATTCTTCAAATTTGCAAAGGCATTCAAACAATTATTAGTAAATTCAAATGGATGATTTTGTTGAAGAAAAAGACACAAGGGTTTAGAGATTTGAGAAAAATCTTTTATGAACCACCTGTAGAAGTCTACATGTCCAAGGAAACCGCGTACACCTCTCATGTTGGTGGGTGGGGAAGGTTTGTATTTACGTCCACCTTGGCTTTATCAACATCAATGCCTCGACATGAAATTTTGTGACCCAACACTATTACCTCAGTCACCATAAAATGACATTTCTCCCAATTCAACACTAGGTTGGCTTCTTCACATCATTTCAGTACCTTGGATAGATTGACGAGACATCGGTCTAATTCATCACCCGAGACGGAGAAGTCATCCATAAATATTTCCATACATTCTTCCACCATATCTGAAAAGATTGCCATCATGCATATTTGGAAGGTAGCTGGAGCATTACATAGCCCAAACAACATTCGTCTAAATGCACATGTGCCATATGGCATGTGAAAGTGGTTTTCTCTTGATCCTCTAGTGCTATGGCTATTTGATTGTATCCTGAGTATCCGTCAAGGAAGAAATAAAATGCTTTTCCCGCTAACCTATCAAGCATTTGGTCGATAAAAGGGAGGGGAAAATGGTCTTTCTTAGTGGCTTTGTTGAGCTTCCTGTAACCCATGCATATGCGCCAGCCCGTGACTGTTTTGGTGTGAGACGCTTTTAACCACAGTCACACTACCTTTTTTTTGGCACACACTGCACTAGGCTGACCCATGAACTATCAGATATAGGATAAATCACTCCCGTATCCAACCATTTTATAATTTCCTTCATGATTACCTTCTTCATGATTGGGTTGAGCCTTCTTTGGGGTTCTATCGAAGTGCTATGACTATATTCTATATTGATTTTGTGCATGTATATGGTCGGATTGATTCCCTTCAAGTCTGTCATTGTCCATTCGAGAGCCTTTTTGTGTTGTGACAAAATATTCAACAATCTATTCTCCTGTTCAGAGGTTAGATTGGCAGAGATTATTACTGGTAGAGTTTCATCAACTCCTAGATATGCATACTTCAAATGTGATGGAAAAGTTTTAAGTTCCAGTTTCAGTGCATGTTGTAAGGATGACTATTGAGATTTAACTTTATCATAATCTAAGGGTTCAAATTTCATACCATATTTATTCTGAAGAAGCCTCGATTAATCCTTTTTCTTTCCTCCATATCCTACATTGGTTTCGTTTTCAGGGCACTCATTGTTTAGATTTCTTTTGCAGGACCATAATTTTCAGAATTGTCTTCTAAAAATAATTCTCCTGGGCCAAAAGTGTCTTGTTCGTGCATCTCGGTTGTAGATTCATGGTACAAAGCGCTATATTCATCAAGCCTTAGAGATTCACCTCGTCCAAGGATTGTTTTTTCCTCTACTTCTCTAATGTATTGGCACTCCTCTGAGTCATCCACATATTTCATGGAGTTGAATACATTGATGGTAACGCTTTGTTCTCCTACTCACATTGTGAACTTTCCCTTTTAACAATCTATTAGGATTCTCCCAGTGGCTAAGAAAGGTCATCCTAGAATGATCGGGGCATTTTCATCGGCTTTAAAATCTAAGATGAGAAAATTAACTAGAAATACCAATTTTTCCACCTTTACTATGACGTCTTCTATTCAGCGCTCGGACCGCACATATGACCGATCGGCTAGCTGTAGTATGAATGAGGTTGGACAGGCGTGATACCCTTCTAGTTTCATAAATATG